ATAAATAGCCTATCATTTTAAGAATTTTTTTATGAAATCGATTTTTCAAAACAAACAAATAACAGTTTAAAAATCTCCACATGTACCAGCATGTTTCAATTTCTTAAGAATTTGTACTAACGACCAAAAAATAGGAAAACATTAATGTAATTATTGCATTTTAATATCTATGTTATGACAAGACAGTTTATGATTTGGACTTATAACGGCTTCTAAAAAAAATTATTTATCTGGATGAAAATACGGGCTATTACATGGAATTTTCTTGTCATAGCTCAACACGATAGGACATGTCTCATCAGTGGGTCTTACTAGATTGGGTTGTGACATATCAATACATCAATCTATTTTTTTAATTGAAAACTACTATTCATTGAATAAATGTATCTTTGTAAGAAATTTGTTTGGATAGTTGTGCTGATGTTGCTTGATTGTCATCATCTGACCATCATTACTCGAATGTTATCTCCTAACTTTGTTGTCTTATGTTAATCAATGTTGACATCAGTAATCACCAAAATAACATCGATCACTGTAAACTAATCCTGAAAATCTTTGTCAAGCACCTTTATCGTCGACCATCAATTGACACATACACACATCATCTTGTATTATTTCCCTAGTAATTTCAACTACAATAACAAGAGGTAAAGCTGATAATCAACACTGCATAATCTCATCTTTTCTAATCATGAAAAATGGTCAGTTTTTGTAATCCTCATCTAAATAGTGAATTATTTCAACTTAGCTAAACCATATTATTTGTTTCCTTGCTAGATTATTCAACTAAAACTATCATATATCTTGTGAGCTTTTTTTATCTATGTGTTTGCTAATCTTTCACCAATGGTATGAATACATTTTCATTCTAATATCATAAATATTCTAGCACGGAATAAAACTAAATTTTAAATTACCTAATAAATTTATACTCTTCTAAAAAAAATAAAATTTTTTAAAATTTATTTTAAATAAAATTTTGTTGAGAACATTTTCATATAATTATAACACATTAATTGGTTTGTAAAAAGGAAATTAAGTAAGGAAATACTCATTGTAGACTAGCATTGAGTTAAATTTTTATTTAAATATAAAAAAAATGTCATTTCAAATATTTTCTAACCTAGTCATTTTAGGTCTACATCTACCTCTCTTAACGTAGGGCAAATCTAATACATATACTCTTCTAACTGGGTCATCAGAAGGTCGACGTTTTATGTGATCAAACCATCTTAGACAACTCTCTCTATGTTATCTACCACGGGAGCCACTCCAACCTTTTCACGTATATGCTCGTTTCATATTCTATCTCTAAGAGTGAACAATTAAAATAAAAACATATAACAATCCACGTAAAATCTTGAATCAAGAAACAATGACAAGAAATTGAGATGTCATGAAGAAAGGTAAAGAGCTAAAAATAATAATGACAGGCCAACATGTAGTTAAACCTTTTTTTTTTTTATTATTTTTTTATTTTTATTTTTTATTTTTTAGGTGTGAAACCATTTGCATTAATATGGTCGTTCAATTCATGTCTCTTCTATAAAATTTGGATAAATTTTGTCGAAATGTTTCCCTTGATCATCAGAAAGGTTATACATCACACCTAATTCATGTTGATGATATTTATGACATCTCACATGCTCAACATAACTGAGTGATGTATATAAATATTTTTGTTCAAGTCTTAATGATAGATACTACATTCTTCTATGTAGAGGTGTCAATATTTGACACGACCCGAAAATCCGACTCGAATCCAACCCGAACCCAAAACGGGTCGGGTTCGGGTTCAACATTTCGACCAGTTTAAAAAATCGGGTGGGGTTTGGGTTAACCCTTTGACCCGAAAATGACCCGTTTTGACACGAAAACTCGATTTTGACCCGACAACCCAATATTGACCCGATTTTGACTCATTTTTGACCAGAAAAAAGAGGAGATAGATCCGTTTTTGACCATAAAACTAACAATTTTTTGTTGGAAACAGGTCATTCGGGTCGTGTTGGGTTGACCCGGACCCGAAGCGGGTTGGGTTCGGGTCTAGAAAATCGACCCGTTTTCAAAAACGGGTCGGGTTCGGATTGACCCGAATAGTGCCGGGTCAGTTTCGATTTCGACCTGACCCGTGAGCCGAAATTGACACCCCTACTTCTATGTTAAATATATTTGATCCTCCTTCTAGTTCATAATAAATATCAAATTTATCTACAAAATTTAAATTTTGTGATTCAATACCTTCTTTATAATAGATCATACATGCATCCATTTAGATAATAATCAATTTTTATTGAGTTTGAATCTTAATTGGATATTAATTTTTTTGTTCTATAGTAAGTTTTAGGCACCAAACTCAGGAATATCAATCTTATTTAGTATAATAAATTGATTAAAAGCTTCTTAAGGGTAATTATACTATATTCAATACTTAAGCTTTGTTTGAGACATTTTTTCATCTGCTTCCTAATTTAATTTTCTAGTACAAATAATTCTTGAGCTAAAAATTTTTGTATTAAAAAATGCTTTAAAAAATCGTAAGAAAAATATCTCAAAAGAAGCCGTAGTCTTCTTACTCAACAAATAATTATAAAAGAGGTCATTATGATAAACTCAATATATTATAAAACTATTACTTAATTATTTGAAGGCTCTTAAACATCAATATTTGGAACCTCTTCATTATTTGACATAATTATATTTTCAATAATTTGTGGGTCAACAACATTATAAATCATTTCTTCATAGCTATATATTTGATTACTTGATTAATATATGTAATTGTTGCGTGTTAGAAAATACGCAGCGGTAGAGTTTGTAAATTCGCGTCCTAGCGTTGCACGTAAGTTTAACACACAAACAGAAAAGAGGAGTGAACACCAAGAGTTTTTACGTGGAAAACCCAAAAAGGGGAAAAACCACGGGGCCTCGCCCAGTTGCAAATTTTCACTAGTGTTTTTGTAGATTACAAATGGCGGATTTCGTCCCACAAGTTGGGATAATCCAAGTACAATTTGTTTCTTCCACGAGATTTACAAGATTCTGCGAATCCCCTACGTTTACTGAAAATCCGGCAGAGTTCCGGCCTCTTCAGGCGGCAGGAAAAACTCCGGCGGCGGTGGTCGAGGAGGTGAGGAATCTCCTATTCCCATTTCTCCTTCTCCTTCTCTTCTTCTTCTCTCTCTTCACTTTTTTTTTCCCTTGGTGTAGAATGAGGGCTCTATTTATAGTTTTTCTGTAATCAATTGATGTATCTATGTATTATGTAATTTCATAATGTCTATGATCAAACTCTCCACAATCTGTTCAATATCAATAATTTGTTAAACAACTTTACTTTACTTATATAAATGGACTCACATTTATTTTAAACATGGACACCTAATTTTGTAATGCTTATAAAAATTTATTCCTAATATGCAACACTAATAAAAAACTCAACTCCATTAAAAAATTAAATTAATCTATTAAATTGTCTCTTTTATGAATTAAAAAATCAATTAAATTATTATCCAGTATGACCGCACAATTGCAATATATAAAATATCATAGTAAAAAGAATCCTATGGAGTCACACTCACTCCATCTAAGTTAATCATAGAGTAATATCTCGTTCCATCTAATTAAAAAAAATCCTATTGAGACATACTTAGGGCATCTCCAACCGAAAATCTCATTTTTCACTCCAAAATGCAGCGAAACCAAAAAGTGCCGTGATTCATCTCCAATCGAACGCCATTTTGCCCCTTAACCGTCGCTCTCTTCTTTCGTGTCTTTCTTCCGCAAGTTCGGTAGAGATCAAAAAATGGCGCAGATGAACATTGTTCATCCGGGATCAAATGGCGGAGGAAAAGGTGTTCGGTTGCGACGTTTGATCAGGGCCTCCATTCGATTGTTTGCCGAACGATTGGAGATGGTCTTACTTCGTCAAATAAAAAGACACAATGGAGTTACGCTCGCTCCATTTACTTTCATAATCTTATAGAGGAACAATCACTCGATCTAAATAATATGTAAATGAAATAGTTGATGCTGGTTTTCTTTGTGATTGGTACCCCTCCTATTAATAAAAAAACCAAATGAGAAGGCCATGGATGATCTCTTGATGCCATTTTCATTGCGCCAAGGCTCCTCTTACATTCAACATGAAAGTCATATTCCACAATCCATCTACACTCATTATATGAATGCTATCTCCAATTGTAGGAAGGGCATTTTTTGTAGCCTTTAATACTCACTAATGAAATCAAGGAATTAGGCTAAACTTCACGATTTTTCCTATTATAGAAACTAAAAAAAATTAGTATTTTTGTACTTGTAATTTAAGGTTTATTTGGGATGGCTACAATGTTTTATAGGGGGTCAATATTTGACACGACATGAAAACCTGATTCGAACTCGACCCGAAAATTTCAGGTTAGACCCGACCCGATTTCAAAACGGGTAGGGTTCGGGTTCTAGGATTCGACCCGTTTGAAAAAACGAGCCGGGTTCTGGTTGACCGTACGGGTTGCTGGGTCAACCCGGAAACCCATTTGAAATGAGCTGATCATGTTGCTCGAGTTTGCCAGCACCTGCCCGCTAGGGTCCGCACCATCTCGCTTGCGTCCACGCCCGCCCGCAGCCTGTCGCCCACCCACCTGCTGCTTGCAGCTCACCGTTTCGCCGTCTCGCCGTCCAGCCATCCCGCCGCCACTAGAAGCTCAACTGTGTTGGGTCGGGTCAACTCGGTTACCTGATGGGTCGGGTCAACTCGGTTACCTGATGGGTGGGGTTAGGGTCGACTCGTTTGAACCCGGGTAAATTTCGGGTTTGATCCGAACCCGACCCGAAACCCGATTTTGACACTCTTAATGTTTTATAAAGTTAGTTGTAAAATTACCGTAGAGAAAATAATTTTGTTATTATGATTTGTGAAAAAAACTTTTCAATATAATTTTTTTAAGAAAATAGAAAAAGAAATATTAGTAAAATAAAATTATAATTGAGATCTAAATATAATGAGTTAGGAACTATCCAAACACACTCTTAGCTGCATAACAGTTGATGCAGGTCGGTAATGGCAGGACAATTCTATTGGACATCAGAACAGATGAAAATCATGAAAGATTTTGTGTCATGATATCTCTTAACGAAAACACAGCATATCGCGATTCGAGGAAGAGGTAGACGCCCTAGGGTTTTGGCTATCACGGGGTTTTTTTTTATGAGATGAAGCTTAAACAGATCGAAAGTCTTCTGGGAAGGATTCAGCAGTTCTCCAATCCGAAGGTCGGGCAAAAGTTTTCAATTTCATCAATCTTCTCAATTTGTTCCGCTTTTAGTTAAACCAATCCACGGACGTTGATTTTTTTTTTATTCTTTTTCCCAGATTCCATCAATCTTAAGTTGTCCTAAAATGTTCTTTTTTTCTTTCTAAAGAATAGAATAGTTTGATTCTGTTTCTGTTTCACTGTTGGAAATGTGCAGTTAGACCTGGAACAGTATCCTACAGGGCCACACATCGCTTCAAGAATGCTTTATACGGTATTCTTCTTCAGTTCCATGTTTACTTCTCTCGTTTTTGGATGTATTCTTAAGGATTTGCAGGTTATTTTGTATGATATATTAGTGTCAATTTCATTGTTAACGTCACAACGAAGCATTTTCTTTTCAAACGAAAAATTTTGGTTTTGCTATCTTTCTGAGAATTACTTGTACCATTATAAGTGTTTGTTCCGAAACGTATTAACACTGGCAAGTAGTCAGCAATGGGAGAAAGCCCAGCAAATACTCAATAAAAGCGCAGCCAATTCAGACTGGTTCTCGCCATCCGGACTCCGCATAGAATAATTTCCCGAGCAATGGATACTCTTAAATCACTTTATCGGTGGAATTATTCTAATATATTTATATAGAAGAACCTTAAATTCATTGCTTTGTTTTTTTCCCCTATCATTTCAAGGATTATAGTTATTAGGAGTTTATAAATGTATAAGGTTTTGAACATTTATTTATGCAAGTTTCTAAATGGCCGAAGATTTTGATTATTTTTGGATTTATGTACTTAAATAGTACGTGATATTTATTATAATTAGTGGAAACATTTATCTAAACAATTTGGTGTTGTAGAGAGAAAAAGAGGAGTGATCGTGTAAGTGAAGTTATGAGTAAATGTTAGGCAAAACACTCTTAACCTCACTTTGAATCATGAAGGCTTTATAAGTTTTGATTATTCCCTTGAATGATTGAGCCCCTCTCTCACCACTCAATGTTGAGTTGGTAAGTTGTGTTTTTGTAGTGCACTTATTCTTCCATTGAGTGTTTCAGGAAGGTATTAGGAGAGAGGAAAATTATGACAGTTTCTTGCTGGAATAGAATAGGGACAATTGATATTAGAGTGGCAGCTTTTGTGTCTTGTTATTCACTTGAATGATCCTTGATATGTTTTCACGTCAAATTGTTATCCTTAGCATGCTACGAATGCGTTCTCTTTTGAAAAATCCTAATGTATTGTAGTTATTTTCAACGAAGATCCTTTGCATATCCATTCCGCGTTACACGGACTTTGATTCATGGCCAGGCATAACTTGTGTCTTCCATTCTTTGTTTTATTACTGCTAAATTCCAGCAGTTATCTTTTCCTTAAAAAAGAAAGAAAAAAGGTATTGCTTTGCCAACAAAGTGCCATGGGTGGCTGTGGTGTCATTAAAGGAAAGGGATATATTCTATCTTTCTTGTTTAAATAAGTAATCATCTTTTGGATCTGATGCAATTGTCTGTGAATAATTAGTACTTGGACATTAACTTCATATAGTAAAGGGACTAGACCTTGTGTCTTTTCCTTTGTGAGAGATACCGAGATACGCAAGTAGTTATTTTTAGATGATTTTTTTTTTTTGTATTGAAAATAGATGCAGGGTGTGGATAAATTCAGAATTGGCCCTTGTACATTCCTTCAGCATATAGCCAAAATTAGTTCTTTGGTAAATAATAGAACATATGCGCTTGAAGATATATTCACAGAGATAATTTATTCAGTTATTTGTTTTCTATCTGATCATAAATTATATTTTAGTACTTACATTTACAAACTTTTTATGATGGCAGATATTCAGGGATTTTAATGGGCAACTAAGGTTTCGTTTGGGACGGCTTTTTATTGCTTCTTAAAACGGAAATTTTTTACTAAAACTCCGTTTTAAGAAGCAATAAAAAAGCCGTCCAAAATGAAGCCTAAGCCTCAAGTGGTCGAGTGCTCCATGCTTTATGCTCATCTTTTTGGAATTTGTTATTCACAAGCCTGATATTCTCTTGTCAGTGTTTGTGGATTTGTCATTAATAAGAGAACCCAGTGATAATTTTAAATAATTACATGTCGAAACTGTGTGACCTTATATGCATTATTATTTCATTTACATCTCAGGCTGAAAATACTTTTGGGGATGTGAATGGCAAGGTAGTAGCAGATTTTGGTTGTGGCTGTGGAACATTAGGCATAGCCAGTGCTTTTTTGGGTGCAGAGTGAGTAGTTTATTTGCTGAGTAATCTTCTTTCTTCCTTTTGGAATAAATGTCCTAACCAATTTACAAAGTGACTTTGTAAATGCATGACATGGAGGTTCTGCTAAAAGCAAAATTACGTTACCAGTTCTTTTTATTGTTCTAGTTCCAATAAAGTTTGGCAAATTTAATCTGATAAAATATCATTCTAACATGAGCAGCTATGTTATTGGTATCGATGTTGATTTACAATCTCTTGAAACGGCTTCACAAAATGCTGAAAATCTTGAGGTACTGTTCTTTTAATTTTCCGTTCCTTTGGAAATATTTGTTTTGTTTTGTTCCAATGTATCTGTTTTGACTCAATACGATCCTATCCTCGATATGCTTCAAGTTCTCATAGCATGCTTGGCTTTGCTCATTCAACTATGTATGTTTTAGAGGTAAAGGGATGGATCCTGTGTCGTTTATTATTATTATTTTTAAATAATTTAACCTAAGTTCTATGGATCATGTTTGTTGTAAGCATATACTATTACGCAATGGGAGCAATATTTAATGACATTCTCATTGAAGGCGTTACGATTTTCTTCTAAAAATGTGTTTATCCTATTTGTGATTTATGTCTCTGTAGAATATCACAACAGATAACGCTGAACTTTCACTGGCTGGGCAATTAATGCAGGTGGATGTAGATCTAATTCAATGCGATGTCAAAAACTTGTCCTGGAGAGGTGAGCTGCTCCATGGATCGTTTCTATTTCTAATTCTCATGCTTCCTTTTATGATGAAGGAATCCCTGTATCCATGTAGTCTCGTATTTTTCTTTTTCTTTTTGGCAATTTTTTTTCTGAGATTTGAACCTTAGGCCTCAACTTCAGTTGTTAGAGACAATGCCACTCATCCAAGTGGTTGTTGACGGCCCCGGTGAATTATTGGTCCAACGGTGGTTCCGGCGGTCTTGGAGGGGTCGGGCCAAGCTTAGTAGGGCAAGAAAGAGAAAATGAGAATTCTTCTATCTATTCTTTGCCCTAACTGAAATCTTTGGGGATGATTCCGGTTCCACATGTCTTGGGAACTTTTAAACTATGCCTAATGTCTGCAATGCTTTTGATTTTTCTACATACAACTCTACCATTTGAGGCTCAAATTTTGCACTTTTTTTTCAAATGTAACTGGGGTCAATCATCTGGCCTTAATTTTTGTTTTCTTTTTCTGTTCCTCTTAATTAATGAATTGACTTTCTTCTATTCCTTTTAGTTATTCTAATTGTACAAACCAATGAGAGGAAGGGAAGGACAAAGAGACTCATGAGAAAGAGTGCAATAACATGCTAAGTAGTAAGGAGATGCTTGATTAGTTTGCCTGTGGTCTTTAGATACTAAGCTAAAAAGAGTTCATTTTAGATACTAAGCTAACAAAGAGTTTTTGTTGCTGCATATGGTACCATAAGCCTTTTTTAGTATCATTTTGTTTTATTTTACTTCAAAAGAGAAAAGAAAAGAAACAAAGACATGTTTGGGATACCATGTACAAGTAACAGAAGAATTTGTTCTTAAGAGTTTGCAATCAAGAAATTAGATTTATATGACAGATACATTGGATAATTCAATTTAGCAAGTAATATGTTTTATGGTCTTATTTGAATTTAATATACTTTTGTACTCTTTATAAATAAACATATATGAGAGTAATGATTTTTTTTGGTTAAATTTATGAAGGAATTTAATAATCACAATTAAGCAAATTTGTTTATATATATAACTTAACAAATTTGCTAGGGCGTCCCCTGGAAGTCTTTATTAGATTTAAACGAGAATTTGACTTTTAATAGGACACAATGGAGAAAAAGGATTCATGTAGCCGACCCCACGTAGTGGGATAAAGGCTTGATGTTGTTGTTGTTGTTGTATATAACTTAATATTTGTAATTGCCATGATTAAATTATTTTTATAGAGAAATTTGAATATTAGTTCTTTATTTGCTTTAATAAATTTTAATTATATTAATAACTATTATGGTGTAGGCTAATTATATTTTGTATTTTTTATTAATTTTAAATTTATCAATCATTATTGGCCGTGTCACAACTACCGAATTACTTTATATACATGAGTTATTATAATAATAGTTTGCATTTTTGATAAGTAGATTTAATTTTTAATTGTTACAATTTATACTTCTGATTTTATGTTTTATAATTTATGACTATGAGATGATCATCATCACATTATCGTTTGGGTTAGGTTTATAGAATCTCATTTTTTTATTTGTTTTTGTCGAGTGTTGGGGTATTAAAACTAGTCTTCGAATTTTGTGTGCACAACTTCCATCCATGTAACTTTTGGTTCACTCAGCTTCCTAATTCTTTGACACTAATTTTATGTACTCGTCTAATAGGTTTAAACATATCTAAATGATATAATCCTATTTTTAGTTACCTTATTTCCCATAGATGTCACTCCAATCATTCTACTAATATGATCATTACTTAGTGTATCCTTCCTACTTCTACCACACATAAATCTTGAGTTCTTAACATCATTTCAACCACACCGAACTTAGATTTTAATGATTTTTTTTTTGCTACCTAACATTAAGATTCATATTATATCGTCAACCTAATTATTATTTATAAAATTTATCTTTTATTTTTCATACTATCCTTTTACCACTCAATTCCCTTGAGATGATAACATTCCAAGAGAAGTGCTTTGAGAAGTTCTAGAAAAAAAAAGAGTTAATAATGCTTTTATTCAAGTCATTAAGGATATGTATGCATGCGCTATTACTTGTGTTCAAACACAAGGTGATTTGACCAAGTATTTTTCTATTTCAGTTGGATTGCATCAAGGATCAATTTTTAGCCCATATTTTTTATTTTAGTCATAAATGTTCTTACTAGACATTTGCAAGAGGATGTACCCTGGTGTATGCTTTTTGTTGATGATATTATTCTTATTGATAAGACTAGAGAGGGAGTTAAAGGAAAACTTGAATTATGGAGGTCAAGCATAGAGTCTAAAGATTTTTGTTTGAGTAGATCTAAAATTGAATACATGGAGTGTAATTTTAGTAGTGATAGATCTAATGAAGGGATTGTGACTTTGGGCGATCAAGTCATTAAAAGAGTACACACTTTAGATATCTTGGGTCTATTGTTCAAAGTGATGTTGAAATAGATGGGGATTTTTTTAATAGAATTTGGATGGTTGATGTGGAGGAATGCACCTAGCCTTTTATGTGATAGAGAAGTACCCATTTAACTTAAGAAAAATTCTATAAGATGGTGTTGAGATCTGCAATGCTTTATGGCGTAGAATGTTGGTCATTAAATGAGAAGCATAAAATTAAGTGTTGCAGAGGTGAGGATACTCAGGTTGATGAGTGACTTTATTCTTAGAGATATAATGCGAAATGAGTATATACGTGAAAAGGTTGGAGTAGCTCCAGTGGCAGATAAGATTAGAGAGTTGTCTTATCTGGTTTGGTCACATAAAATGTCAGCCTTATGATGACTTACTTAGGAGAGTAGATGCATTTGATTTGAGCTATGTTAAGTAAGGTAGAGGTACACCTAAAAAAATTTGGTTAGAAAGTATTAGAAATGATATTTTTTTATTAGATTTTAATTATATATATATATATATATATATATATATATTCATACTTTTACATAATAGATCCAATAGACTTAAACTTATAAAGAAAAATATTACTGTTGGAATAAAAAAATGTGAACATTCAATATCCTGTTGTTGTTTGGATGTGATTTGTCCAAAATACTCTTTGAGCAGATTAAGTTAGCTATGCTCAATCTAGGTCATTTGAATTTGACTGTGCCAACACCCTTGCTTGATCCTCAAGCTCATTTCAACTCAATTTCAATTCCTTAACCCATTCATAGGTTTAATCATAGTTTAGCTTAGCTTAAAAATTTACTTTAGCTTTTAACTTAAGCTTTATAAGACACTTGACCCTACAATGACTATGAGATCCAAATGAACTTAGTAAAGTCCATTGGGCGAGGTCCTTAATCATCAACTTTCAATTTCATATTCATTTTTTTGAAATATGTTTGAGTTTAGCCAATCATAGTTTAGACCCACCTAAGTGGATCTAGTTGGTGGTTTAAGCATTTAATTTCTTCTTCAATGATTCAATTGCATGTATTTACATTTTGATTGACCTCTATTTTTTGACCTTGGACTGGGATCATAGGTTTTACTACAAGTTAACTGAGAATAATATCCTTTAAATCATGGATTCAATTGATGATTTTGAACTAATTGATTGAATTAACTAGCCAAACCTCTTCTAGAGGGTTATAATTATCAATCAAACCATAAATGAATGGACTCCAATTGACCACTAAATTAGGCTTGATCTCTTGAACCCTACTTAACCCAATTGAACTCTTTAGGCCATTTATTGACATTAAAATTTGCATCCTTGTCGAAGTGTTTGACATCATTACAAAGATGTCCGACATCATCATCAAGGTGTTCGACATCATTGTTGGGATGTCCGACATCATCACTGAGGTGTTTGACATGGTCGTTAGATCGTTACAATATCCGACTTCATTGCCATGGTGTTTAACATTGTCACCAAGGTGTTTGAGGCCAATTTAGAACTAGTCAGAGTGCTTGCCGAGGTAGTTGAGGTTATCAATGAGGTGGTCAAGACACTTGACAAAGCCATTGAGATCTTATTTCACAAAATGGGTTATGCTATTGCATATAAATCATTGAAATAGTTCAGGCGAGATTGATTATACTATCTCAAAATGAAAACCTAAATTTGAAATTTTGACTAATCATTGTTTTGGTCGCAATTTTTTTGTAAGAATTATACGATTCTCATATCGTTTAAAAAGTAATGAAATTATTCACAACTTTTATGTTTTTGACTTTGCTAATTATGAGATAGTAATATTATTTTTTTGTGAGAATCATGGAATTATAACTCAAATTTAGAAATTCCAACACTACTACACTATTTTGGGGAGAACTTATTTCACGTAGGGCTACAAGTGAACCAAATGTTCGATGAGCTACTCGTTGTTTAGTTCGATTAAAACTTTTTTTGTTATTGTTTAATTAACAAAACAAATAAACTTGAACAATATTTTAAATACTCGATCTTTAAATAAACAAGCTTGAATACTAATGTGTTCGGCTCATTTATGTTCGTGAACAACATAATTTAATCTTGTGAACAAGCTCAACATTAAGCTCGATAAGAAGCTCGATAAAAGCTCGATTCGTGTTCGATTCGTAACTCGTGAATAGGCTCGATAAAACTCAATTAATATTTGATTACAAAATTGATAAATATACATAATATAAATTTTTTATATTTATTATAACATAATGATATAAGTATTGTTAAATATTAAAATTTGAATTAATTAAATATTATAATATATGCTAATTAAAATAAAATTTACATATTTATTAAATTTTACTGAATAGGAAAAACAAAAGCAGCGCGGAAAACGTCGAACCTTTCCCTCGTCATTTTGCTTTGATTTTTCTCCCCAGATGCCGAAGCCGAAGGCGGAAGGCCAAACTTTCTACTCTTTCTCCCAGCTCAAGCCTCGACTCCTGGGCTTTCTTTCCTCTTTGTTCTCCCAGACAGCTCAAGTTCGCGTTTGCAAGACCACGCCATCGCTCAAGTTCTCCCAGACACCGCTCAATCCTCGACTTCTGGGTTTCTTTCCTCTTCGTTCCACTTGACTCCTGGGTTTTCTTTCCTCTTCATTTCATCCGTCATCATTCTCCCCGACACCGATCAAGTTTGCATTTGCTTAACCAGCATCGACAGTAAGTTATATCAGCTTCAAATATTACTTCCATTAGTTATTTTATCTTCTTTCTCGCATTCCTTTGCTTCTTTACATTAGAAGGCTTCTCCTCTCCTTAGAAAGGGCTTTGTGAGCTAGCACCATAACGTCAACTGATTTGTGATAATATTTGCGAGCGTTTATTTCAAATTCTTGTTTTGTGAAAATATTTCAGCAACATAGCTTTGTGATAAAATTCCTTGTGATAAAATTTAGACGCTTGTTTTGTGATGATTAGTTTGGGTGGTGTAGCATTTATTTCAATTTAGTTCGAATAGGATTCCTGTTTAATTTAATTGTTAACTCCTCTTATAAAGGTATGTCACAAAATTCACCACATCAACATCTAAATTCTATACCTCAACTACAGTTGACAGTGCATGATGTCCAAATTAGTACTGGGTCATCTTTAAGTCCAACAGTTATAACAGAACATGGC